AAACATGCAAAACTCAAATGAACGTTGAAATTTTTATATTACGGCATAGATAATAAAAAATATTGATAAGAATACATGTGAAATGGAAGTGAAATGCGTGCTGGTTATATTTCTGACACGATTTCATCGCAAACGGGCAAACGAAGCGCGAGCAAACAGCGTACCTCATTAATTATTTATTGGGCACAAAAGGCCGATGATGGTATCATGAGAATTATGAGAATCATCGCCTCCGGCCGTGTTCGATTTCATTGCTTTATCGCTTCATTGCTTTATTTCTTAATTAAACATTTAAATTTTTATTACTAATATAATTAATGTACCTTAAAATTTTATTTTTTGTAGGCAAAAGTTTTTTGCTTTTAAAACAAATAAAAAAATTAAAAACTTTTTAAAATTTTGACCAAACTATAGCTGAATATATTCCGCTACAGTTTACACTTAATTTTCTTCATATTGCAAACCGCAGAATGAACAAAATTGCATTTTTCCGGTTTTTGCAATAGTTATATCTGAAATGAAAACAAAAAGAAGTAGCTGTAAATGTCAGTGCTCATTTCTTGTCCGTAAAGTTTCCGCCGTTGCTTGAAAACTCGAAAACTTGAGACGCTGAAACGTTGAAATAAAACGACGTCAACGAACGCCGCTGATCCCCGAACGTCGCCGGCTGGCGCGACGGATAGTTAACGGTCCGCCAGCAGCACAATTTACTTATCGGTACCGTAAAAAGGATTAACGGATAAGATCGGCGTCCTCCCTAAGTATTTTCCTATAACCGTTTTACGACTAGCAGAAAAATCTATTTCATTCTAACTCATTAACTTTAAGTGCACATAAAGCAAGCGGAGATATGGGGCGCAGCAGCCAAATGGTGGAGGCGCCCAGCAATGGCATAGGCCCGGCATTACTCCTCGAACTGATTAAAGCCAAACGATGCTTTCGAATTGAGATTAAGAGTCATCGGGAGTCATCCGACGCTGCGTTGACCCGTTCATATTATTTCGTTTCGTTAAGTCGTCAACCATTCAATTTTCATCATGAGAGACGCAGATCACCATTTAAAGGGAAGCTCAACAATTTACGGCCGCTGCATAAACTCAAAAAGCATATTAATTGCTTCTGACTGAGCGGCGTTGATTTTTTTTTTCATTGTAAAAGCTTGTTATTTTATACCACTTCCGGAAAACCGGAAAAGGGCATGTCGACGCGCCCCCGACCAGCAAAAATAAAAGAAAAAGTCGCCGGAGAGTTGTTAATCGGGCGGGAAAAAATAAATCCCCGCCCGCCGACCATGTTGGAAGTTAAGCTCTGACTAGCGCCATTAATCACAACGCGCGCGGGGACGAGAGTTTGGTGGGGCCGGATTAGCGGCGACAAAATCGAGGATTTTATTACATTCGTTACGAACAAATTATTTCATGATGACCATTGCAACCCTCATCACGACGATCATGAATATCAAAAGTTTAAGCACATTATTTTGATATTTTTTCAATTGCTCCAAAGCCCACTTGCTTTTCCTGGGATTGGCGAGGGCAGTCGGGATTATTTGCTTTTAGTTTTCCCATTTCCTGCAACAACATCATATGGAAATGTGGTCATGTTATATGTATGCCATTTAGTGCTACCCCAAACATTGATTCTCAGCCTAGCGCTCGGCGCCTCCACCAAAAAACCTTCCATTCGAAATAAAGCAAAGCTTTACTTTAGAATAATACGGATTACAGCTTACAAATAAATTGTGTGAATGTGTGATTTGCGCAAACGTGAGATTTGTACCAGGAATGTTTGTTTTAAGTTTTTTTTTTTTTGAAAGGCGCCTCCACCATAAATTTATTTTTTTTATTTCTGATTAAACTATAGATTTATTTACAAATAAAACAAATTAATTCCATAAATAATTAACAATTATTTTCTATTAATTAAATATTTAAAATAAAATTTACTTCCATCATTTTAATAAATGGTTTAATGAATAACGAAATTGAATTGTAATTAATTCAACAACAGATGTTTATTTTCTCAGTAAGTAACTTTGCTGTGTAATTATTGTTTGAGAGAAATTAACTTTATTTATGCAAATTGCCACTTTGTTTGCATTTGTACTCTAAAAAAACTTACAAAAATTGGATTTTATTTTCGTTTCTTTTTTCGCATTTTCATATTTTTACGAATAAAAAAAACCTCGACGTACGCTTGAAATTGGAAAGTGTGTACAAACGCGCGCGTTATAAATATTATAAAAGCGGACTCACCTTCCTTGGGGGTGGCTGAACGGGGTGCGCGCAACAGCCGTAAACAACGAAGCGGCGTTTGCGTGGAAATTGCGTTTGCGTTTTGTATTTTTCCAGCTTTTTACGTTTTTCAACTCGCGCTCAAAAAAAGCACCGGAACAGGGCGGTTTTCGGGAGGTGGATAGGGCGAAGCGCGTTTTTCGAAAGCGGAGCCCAGGTTATTAACTGCAGTAATCTCGTAATAATCCTTGATGACAAAAGGGTTCAAATTTATTGCGTGCGCGAGGGGGTTGACCTCTTCCCACTGGGCCCACCGGGGGCGTTTGTGGTGCGCTAGCTGACATGCACGGAATTAGGAAATTAAAAACATATTTCTGGCGTAATGCGGCGGAGGTGACTGCAGCTGGAATCACGATTCAGCGATTTTCGAATTAATTCCGCACGAGGAGAGAAAAATTTAAATACATCAACTGTCAGCCAATGTATTTTAATTTTTTACGTGACCATAACATATTCCCTCTTTAGTTTGGTTTTATTTTGTGGTTATAGAAAGCTCTCTGGTATAAATTATTAAAGAGCAATTTCCGCGTGATTTTTGGTAAGGATTTGTCGAGTGGGAAATCAGAACGTACGACGTCCGGAGCGATGCATGCAGCATGCGGGGGTTGGTTGTTCATGAACATGAAGCGCACAAAACCGCCCTCGAAAGCTCGCGAGTGCAAGATGCGAACACGCTGTGAATTCATGTTATCCCCGGCTAAAGCTACAGCTACAACTACACGCGCACCGGGGATGAGTGAGAAGTGAGAGAAAGGGGTAGGTGGGGGGCAAAGCATAAAATCGTGCGGTCCCGCAAAAGTGCTGTTTGCCTTTGGCCTAATTCCAAATGTCCCAGCTGAATGTACATTGTAAGTTATTACAAGAGCATAAATTATATCCCCCATCGGATAGAGAGACCGGGGAGTGGACCCGGACGCAACGAATGTGTCCGGTTTAAGTACAAGACACACCGACAACATCGCTTTGCTCTCGCCTGTCGTTAATTGCGTCCTGCATGTCCAGCGCTATCTTTAAAACAAACAATTTTTAACTTTTATGTGTAAACACTATAAAAACTCAATAAAAAACGTTTTTTTTTCTTTAAAATCCCTAAGCACGTGTACTTTTTTTTTTTCGAATGTAAAATTTACAACCACCGTGTATTCTTTGGTGGAGCTAATGGAAATCGTGTAACAATGCACTCTTTGATTGACCGCAGTTAGAGAGGCAAAATGCACTAATGGAAGTTAATGATTCGTGCCGGGCTTATATACCCCTAACTACCCCTGACGCGCGCGCGAGGGTAAAAAACGCAAAGAAAAGCATTTTATTCGCCGATTATTTACGCTAAATTTTACCACCCTCGATAAAATCAAGAATAATTTTTCTTTTTAAATTTTATTTTCTCTTACAAATCAAAATCTAGAGTCTACATCTAGGGGTGACAAAGTAAACATTTGACTATTGTGATGTTTGTGGGACAGTAGTTGTACCTGCATTCGGGCAAACTTCCGGTCGCTTCCCCTTCGTGTCCGTCATGTCATCAGCGTCACTTGCAAATAACCTCCGGCTAATTGCAACGGACACTATCCTGTTATCCTGTTTATCCTGTCCATCAGAAAGCTTTGTTTGAATCACAAAAGTTACAATTATTAAACCTGTCAAGATTTTGTTATTTTTAGTTTTTCCAAGGACAAAAATGACAAAGAAACGGAGAAAAAAAAAATGAAAAATTTGTAATTCAATCTCTATTTTTGCATGCATGCGAAATATTTCATTGTCGCACGGAAATATTTCCTCGGTAAGTCGAAGCATAGTAGAGGTTAAACGTGTTGCGATACAATGCGCGTTAATTATGCGAGGAATCTAATGCGGCGCGTGGCGAACGTGCGCGACAAAAAGGCGGCATTTGCATTTTATCAGATCCGAGGCGTACACGCACAGCCTCGATGTGTGGAAAACGTGCCATACGCCCTATGAGACGAAGTGGTTGAAGTCGGAATTAGTTGGAAAACACGGTCATGAATTAAACAACGTTGCTAAAACTAGAACTCAAACTAGAACTAGAACAGAAACTTAAACTAACACTTTCTGAAAACAGTGTATAAAGTACAGTATTTTAAAGTATAGACAATTTTTATATGAACTAGTTTATTTATTCACTTAAGAATTAATTATATACAATCGTAGTTGTTTTCGTAATTCAATATCATCCCGTTTACAATAATTATTAGTTTTTTTGCTTTAATTTTTGATAGATACAACAATGTCCGTTTAGTTTACGTAGATTTTTTTTTGTTTGGTTTAAATGTTATTTAGTGTTTTTGTTCTGTGTGAGTGTTCAGTGTGCAGTTGTTTTTGATTCACATTCATCCATTCTGATTTAAAAAACACTCAGTACTTAGATTTTAAGTGTTACTCGTTACTCGATATTGATAATGTTTTAAGGATGAGATTATAAAGTTTTACAAAACAAACATTTGTCTACGCAAAGAGTCCTTTAATTTGTTTGAGTGTTAATAATTTGTGGGTTTGGTTTATGTACAGAGATAAATAGCGAAAAATAAAATTTGAAAATTTGAATAAGTTTTTCTCTTCTTCTTTTTAACTAACAATGATGTTTGCATTTTCTCTCACTACATAATTGTCAACATGTAATAATAGTAATCACAATGAATAAGTACTAAACGTAGGCAGCGCTTTCATTTCCGGTTTGTGTATCCACTGAATTGTTTTTTAGCACCGAAATAATAACAATTTCCCTAGAGTCAAAAAACAGACACACTATGTCCCTTGGATATCCACTTCACTTGATTTCACTTCATCCCATCTCTTGCGGCTCCATTCCATTCGCACTGATTAACTTTGTGATTAGTTTTTTACACCGGGCGCCGACTATGGGTTCATTACGGGTGCGGCACAGACACCCGCGATGGAGTCTTGTGGGGGGTTGAAAAATACGTAGCAGGCGATTATTACAGCTGATGAGATCATCTCACTGCGGTCACCATGAGCATGGCGAGCGCGACAAGGAGAGCCATCTGCTTGCCGGGCACAGCCCTGCTGGTCTGCATCGCAGCCGGATGCTCGCCTGAAACAGATTATCGCAATCCATTAGTGGCCCGCCGCGCGATAAATCGCTATTATTCACAATACCGCACACACTCGGCTTGAGCCCCTACTATTTGTTTTAGCTTCCTAACCTCATTTTAGAAGGGACCTGGCTCCCAGGGAATATGGATAATTGCGTTTCAGATTGGTATTAGTAGTTTTACAAACGTATTAATCACATGAGATGAGGTATAATGTAGAAAAATAATTGCTGTGGGAACACGTGGAATTCCTTGAATTTTAACCCAAGGAGCTTAATTAAACTTAGCGGAAGTGCTTGCGGTTGCCGCACATAATATCGGAACTTTCTCGTCCATTATAGACATTCATCCCCCTTACAAACAACCTCAACCCCTCCTAAAATCAGCTCACATTGCTTCCCGGTAGAAAAAAATGGCTGCCGGTTGGTGATGAGAGGGTTGGCGTTTGGTGTTGATGTTGGCTTGATGATGTTTTGCCAGGCGCGCACCCGACTTCCGCCCGAAAGCTCGCGGGAATTTTTCATCACTTATGAGAAAATTTCTCAACGATAACTACCTACCCTTATCCGACTTTAATCATCTCGCGCACAGCGCACACCTACACCACCACCACCACCTTGTCTTATCGTGTTTTCAGGGCGCAATTTTCGCATCCGTGCGTTTGCTGTTTACGCTTCGGCTCGTCGAGTTTTATTTTTCATCAGTGTCATCACGTTTACCCTTTTTTTCATCAACTTTAACATTATTAAAAGTCAAAATTTAATATTGTGCTTACCATTAAGAACATGCACAATGGCGGAAGCAGGACTGGCATTGGACGGCATACAGGTGTAATTCCCCGAATCCGAAATGAGCGCCTTGGTGACCAGGAGTTTACTGGTAGTACCCGCTTCGGTTTTTTCGGTTTCCAAACTGATGCCACCTCGTGGGGAGTCAAAATCAACCACGGCGTGGCCATGATACCAAAGTACACTAGACGGGGGTGTTGAGTGGACATTCACTGAGCATGTCAGTGATATCGTACTACCCTTCTTGACATACACCTCTCCTGGACCGGAAATGGTCGCTTGTGCATCTGTAATGACAACAAACACAAATAAGTAAAATTTTTTAATAAAAATTTTAATATGTGTATGTGTAAGCCTTGATGGGGGAGAAAGGTGAAAGGGTAATTTAATTAAAACCTCAAAAGGAAGAAAAAATTGTTCATTACCGTCATGCAAGGAAAAGCGACTAATGTTTGCCTAGAATTTTTCAACTACGCTCTGGATTATTCTCCACCCTTAACTTTGTGACTTGTTTAAAAAGCAGTGTTTGCACACCGAAAACTAGCTAAAATGTTGGGAAACTTTCATGAGATGAGATGAGAGAAGCAGTGTGCGTGAGGGAACGAGGTACCTGTGGATCGCGGGCCGGGGTGCGTGGCAGCAAGGGAAGACGTGTCTGTAACAAAAAAATTCAACAAAACGTTTCAGCACAGCACTGCCCCAGAACTGAACTAATTATTTAGGCGACTAAAACGAAATAAACTGGATTTTAATGAATACATGTCTTCGAAAAAAGGGGCGGGATGAGGCATCAAAAGGAGGTCCACACAGGAAACAGATTAAGAACGTCAACGGAATGATTTCAATGGCGGATAAATGTTGTTTGCTCCATGAGATGAAATACTCGTGAGCGTGCTTGTGTTCCTTGCCATAAACAGATAAAGATACGGGGATACTGAGCTCGCAGGTTTATCGGCACAATGAAAGGTTTCGTGAGAAATTCGAATACAATGAGTTCTAAGCTTGGTTTTTGATTACATCTCTTTTTATCTTTTTTTTCCATCAATGTAATTGTAATTTTTCGTTTTTGTATAATGGTTATACGCATGTATGAAAATTGTGTTTATTTGGTTGCTTTGTTGATGATTTTTGAAACGATCTGTATGTTTTGTAGCATGTTTAGAGGAAGTATAGACGTGTGGATGTTGGGGGTCTTTGTAGATGGTCCTGATCCATGTTAACATGTCGTGTCCTACAACTCTACAAGCGGTGAGATGTAAGGTATGAGGCCTGCTCGTCTCACGAGGGGCTGGAATCTGTATTGTAAATATTATTCGTGTTTTGTGGCATTATCAAAGGAAATAGAGATTGCTTTGTGTTGTGAGGGCGGGGGCCGCCATTGTGCAAACACACATACCTTCGACATTCAGCATGATGGCCATGTTGATCTTGGGTTCTGTATTGACCTGGCACTCGTAGACGCCGCCGTCGCGCTTCTGCACGTACTCGATGCGCAGGTCGTAGTCGTCGCTGTGTTCCGGATGTCGGACGCTGAATCGCCCGTCGCCGGTGTACGTGTGGATGCCGGACGTGAGGATGTGCAAGTCTCGCTTTCGCATCCACGACACCTGCGAACCACAGCAAGTGATTAATATCAACCTACATATATCCATCTACAACTTCATGTTATGATATCTTTAGACGATGTCCAACTAGACTGATGAACATACTCAATCACAGCGAATCAAATCTAATTAATCAGGTATGGATGTTTAATTAGTGTGGAATGGAAAAAGTTACAACTACACCTGGTTTATACAAGAGTGATAAAGTTACACAACGCGGGGAACAAAGAAAATGTTCATTACATCGGAAGGGTTGCGAGGCGCGCGCGTCACGAGTCACGGTTTGACTAATTACTGCAATACTCCGCTCAAAGGCAGTCAAACCACCTCCCGCAGTCGCAAATAGTACAACGTATCTTTGTCAACCAAGATGCGACAGTGCTCTTGACTCTAAACTTAGACTTGTATCAGATAAATAGGTTGCCGTAAAAAAATTACAACCGAAATAATAAAACTGGAGTTTTTGTTTTTATTTTTGGAACAGAAACATTACTGGAATCTTGTATTGCGTTGCATTTTCTATTGTGACATGAGCTGAAATATGCAGATTTATTATTCATATGCAACCTCGGTTTGCGGTATTTTTAGAATTTAAACAGAATTTACATGCTTGATTACAAGCGACTGCATTCATATTCTGCGAATTTAGCTTGTAAACAGGATCTTCTCTTAAGAATAAGCCAATATTCAGTGATTTAATATTCTTAGAAGTAATATTATTTTATTTACAGTGAAACAAGAGAAGAATATGCATCAGTTTTATTTTTCTTTGATTTTTTAAATTTGCTACAGGTTTTGTCCGCAGTCCATGCATAAGTTGAATCTAACTGCAGTCCGTGTACTTAATCTGACCGCAGTCCGTGCAACTTGTACTTTTCTAAAAATGTATAATTTTTAGTTTTTATTGCGTTTTCTTTGTTTGTTATCTTTTATCTTGCTCGAGGATTATGTAAACTGACGTGGCAGTATTTTAAAAATTTAATCTAGCCGAGAGATGTAGATGGTAGATTTAATTACGAGATAAGAACTTTATAATGTCCTCGATTTTTCTGTTCCGCACGCTTTTCTTTCGGGGCGTTATTTTTTCGCCGCGCAGTGTTCAATTTTACTCTGTTTGCCACATTTTCTTGTGCTCGCGCGGCGCCGTTTGCTGCCAACCCGCCCATCGAGCGAAATTGAAATATAAATTATAACCCAATGCATGCGGGCGCCGTAAGATACAACGATTATGGCCAGTGCGCGAAAGGCGCAACAAAAAAGCGCACTAATCGTTCTCTTGGGGGATGACTTCTTTGCGTTTTTAAAAATTTCACGACATTGCCGCCACCACCAACGCCTTTCTTTTTAACAGCGAGCTTTATCGGCCATTTTGCGGTATTTTTATCATTTGCAACACTCGCACGTAAAAACGTTTTGCATTGTTTGTTAAATTTTTATTAGCTGCTTTGAATAAGCATTGCAGTGAAAATTTAAGAAGAATTGGAGAAGTATTTTTAATCAATTTACGTAATCGCAGCTTGCCAGACGTGGATTTAGAATATCGATTTGGCGGGTCGCAAAATTTCTCGTTCTATTTGTTCGATTTAAAACACGTGCGCGCAAGGAGCAGTAATCGAACGAGCCAGAACGCCAAATATTTACTCGCAGACGCAATTCCAGTCCAGAATGAACCAACACCGCCGCGCTCACATCCGGCGTGGATTAATTAATATTTGATTGTCTCTTAGTTCGCCAATATTGTGTATTTGCGCATTTAAATATCTTCAACGCCATGAAAATCACAAAGGGGCTTTTATTGAGTGAAAATTGTTTTTTGTGTAATTATTATTATTTTATGATGTTTTGATGATTCACGAGAGTCGAGTTTCCGCTTCACTCGACTCTTTGCTTTTCTTGTGCACACCTCTCTGAAATTTGAGCGGAAAACCGGAAAACTTGGCCCGGAGTTCGGCGACGAGCAATCCGACCAAAAACTTATCTAGTTTCCGAGTCATAAAAGTGACACGCTTTTTAAAATTATGTCCCCGAATGTTGTTTCAGTGTTATTACAACTGTCGGTGGCGTGATTTGTGGTCGCCGGATTCGGTTTATCTTCATCGCCGATGCAAATTCCGCCCAGAACTAACTCAATAAATATTAAAAACTTGTAAACTCGACGACGCATTTATTTTTTGTGTATCTGCACAAAAATCAATATTCTACACTTGAATTCTATACATTTTACACGCTGGAAATAAAGTGATATGTATAATGAAGTGAATGAAGTAATGACACGTATGATGAGAGAGGGTGAGTATGAGATAAATGTAAACACACATACATAAACGCGCACCGGACAGATTTATTCACCCCCGGGAGCTGGCATAATATGAGCGGTGGCATTAACGCGCGACGCACGCGAACATAATAGTGGGCATCGGTTCCTCGGCGTTCGGACCATTTGTTATGTAAATTATTGCGATTCGTCATGTCGGACCGCGACTACCCCGACACACACACACACGTATTCACAGTGCATGGATTCGTTCCGGGTACTTTTCATTCGATTTCGGCGGTAGAGTAAAGGCACTCTGTTTGTGAGTTGTCGGCAAATTTGCAAACCCAAACAGGCCGGGGATATTTTGGCGCGCAGTCTCGTGAATTTTACGCGAGCGCATGTATTACGGATTGATTGATGTGTCACTCTCACGCACTCGCCGAGGACGCGTCGAGGGTGCCAATAAATTAGTTCCTTTCACATTGAAATTGTTCCAGTCAAAGAGGCGTGTAATTATTTTTGAATCTGCGCCATTTTTCATGCGCCAAGCGTCTACGTGACGCCCGTGTGGCGCACGTCTTCCGGACGTGGATTTTACGGTCTTAGAAAGTCTTTTTCAGCTTCTACAAATTTAATATGCATTAAATTAAATTCTAGATTTAAAACCAGCGTTAAAACAAAAAAAAAACAATTTTTCAGATTTTTTCTATCGGAATGCAGTCGGTGCATTCAATCTGACCGCAGTCCGTGCGTCGAATCTGACCACAGTCCGTGCGTTAATTCTGACCGCAGTCCGTGTAATGAATCCAAGGTCAAATTTTGTTTTTTTATGTAACTTTTAAAATAAACAAAATAAAAGCCTTCTTAATAGTTTATACCCTCTTAAAAATCGTCCTCTATAAATGTAGGGTACGTACATCTACAAATACAGGGTGTTTAATTAAAATTTTAAAAATTTATTATCATTTAAAGTGATGGTTTTAAACATGTCTTATTCTGTTTGTTCCCAGGACAAAAAACAAGGATTCAAGGAAACTTTTAAGATCCTAGAAAACTAAAGAAACCTTCTTTCTTGTGCGGTGGAACATAAATTCTTTTACGAAGTAAAGGAAGGCCGAGAGAATCACTAAATCTCTGATACATGGAGATTTACTATTGGTCCCGATCCCGAGGAGCTGTAAAAGGACTAGCGCACTTTCCGCAAATTGCGTCAGATTAGTCCAATAAAGCCGCGAGTCCATCACGGGATCGAACACTTTCTATTCATTTCCTTACCGCAGCAAAAAAGAACGTTTTTCTTAAATAACTTTTTAAAATAAAATTATTTCTCAATTTGTGATTTAAAACATTAACATCACTTGAAGTTTGGAAAGTAATTAAAGCCAAAATCATTGCAAAAACAAATTGTATCGATGTACGAAGCTGCGTTTCGGAAAAGTTTCCCGTATGCCCGCCGGGGTGGCAATTATAAAAGTTGGCGCACGCTGTGTCGCCTGAAATATTGTAAATTGTGCCGAATTGAATATCGTTCGCCAGCAGCCGGCAGCCGGCCACGGAGTGAACTTCTTCATATTTCCATATAAAATAGGCAAGGGTGTGGGTATGGAGAAGGTATAAAAATCCTCGCGGGATGACTTTACATACTTTACTAATGCCCTCCCAATAAACGTCGCCTCGGAAGGTTTATTCCAACCGAATTCCACACGCGAGCGATCCGAATTTAAGGGGCGCTATTCCGTGCGCATAAAAATCCACCCCGGGGGCAGAATCTCGTATTAAATTTTTTTATGGTTTCAATAAAATATAGAACGGTGCGCGCCCGTCTCGACTACAACCCCAACGACAACTACGCTAACCGTGGGTGCAGAAAACCGGGGGTGGTGGCGGCGGGGTTGGTGGATCTTGAGTCGTCGCAAATATATTCTAACGTATGGCGTCGGTGTGCGATTACGTACATGGTGGCACGACGACAATTCATCCATTTTATTACGCCATCAATTCTTTTCCAGACACTCATACGATACGACTAATTGCCTAAGGGAGGTTTAGTTAAAAAAATACAATCAGTCTACATCTGAGGCTTAAATAATAACAAAAAATAAAATGTCTCGTTGGTTTTTTGAAGATAAAGATGTAAAAAATGTGGTATAATCGTAAAAATTAAATTAAAAGTTGTATGTGTAAGTTTATTGCCTTTGGAAAACAATTTCGGTTCTAAAAGTTTAATCAAGCGGGCCGCTGCATATAAACTACCTTCGTGCAAGCGCATAAAATGCGAGCCGCGGGCATAAATTCACTACTTTATGCACTGAAATCGAAAAAATAGCCGCGCGCACTCGAAAACCATTCGCTAGTAAGTTTTCCGGCTTACGCGGACGTGTTTCGTTCACGGTTCTAGGATCGTTTGTCTCTGTTTGGGGACAAACTTAAACCCCCGATTCTCCGCGGGTTTCACGGAGAGAGTCGAGGTTTTCCAAATTAGAATTAAGTGTCTACACGATCGATGTTACTAGATTAGTAAAGTGTACACTTACGGTTCTTTCTCCGGGATGTTTAACTCGACATTGCAGGAGTGCTGATTGTCCAACTACAGCTGTCACATTTCTTGGTCCTACGTCATCGAAATATGGCCGTTCGACGACTGGTTTAGTTGCGTCTGGAAAACGCATTTTTCCTTCTGCCACTCCTACTAAACTCCCAGAAGCAGCTGAAATAAAAATAAATTTTTAAGCAAAAGTTTTGTTTCTTTTTTGTTACACTTTGTATATTCAGTATTCGTGGGACAATAATAATGTATCGATAATTTATATTCAGGGCACGTTGCAACATATGCGTCTTTAGTACACGTCGAGGGCGGATAAGAAAAATGTCGAACATATATCCGATCGGCGGCTTGTTCCTCGGGTATTCGCCGACGACGATCGCGTGTACATATTTCGACTTCAAATATTGAATGTGTTGCATGGCGAAGCAGCCACCCGCCCGAATCGAATGGAATAAATTCAAGTCTTGTTTTACATTATACAGGATAAATCAAAATTTGCACAAAAAATTTCGAAAAACCTTTAAAAAAATACGCTTCTCAAGTTTTGCATGTAGGTAAATGATGCAAGTTTATGTTTATGTGTAGGGATATGAATCGACAACATCAGTTACAATGTCGTCGGCAGGATGCAGGAGGAAACACAACGCGCTGCTGACGTTTAATAAATAACGAAGGAGAACTTGCGCGATTTTCCACGGTTGACACGTCTGTTTGGTAAATAAGTGATGGAAACATCAGCGCTCGGTTTTGCATAATTAAGGTGGTGGAGGCGCCGCTCATGCAGATTTCCACGAGATCTACCTACGTCGCGTGCAGATATCTTCATCTTCATCTTCATCAAGATGGGAATTGCACTTGTTCGCAACCGCTAAACGTGAATAAAATATTGTATTCTATCGTAGAATTAAATTTTTCATATGCAATTGTTTACGTGAACTTTATTCCGTGAGTATACACAATTTATGCATTATTCGTAGGTTCTCCGCCGGGCTCGGTGAGTAACAACAACCTTCTTCTTTTACTTTCGACCCGTAATATGTCTTACGCCTTGAAACGGATGTTCCGCTCGCCTTATTTCAATTTGACTGAAAACGGAGTCATTTTTTAAATTGTTATTCGGCTAAAGAGATATAACGCTCTATTTGTATCTGTCGCCAGGCGCGCTAAGTCTTCCTCGTCTGTCAGATGAATCTCAACGTGTGCGCCATCTCTTTTCGAAAAAGATAAATACGCTGTTTAAAGTCGCTCGTTTAGATTAAATTTTAATATCGGATCGTTCTTAATTCCGCACTCGAGCGCAATTTGAGAAATGCGCATTCGTTTGAGAAAAAACGACGCCCGGGAACGAAAAAAACAACCGACTGTAAAGATACACAAAGTAAGAGAAGAAAAAAATACAAATACAGTAAAGTGTAGTTAGTCGCGTCGAGTCTCAGACTTAGACTTAGAATCGGCTCAGACTTTAAGGGCTTACAGACTTTTAGACTTTTAGTACACATTGAGATCGGAATGAAAACGGTCAGTAGTGATTGGGCCATTTCAATTTGTCAACTCGGCGATACACGGCGATTCAATTTAGGGAACGACGACAAGGGTGAAATATACCCTGAGGAATTGTCGCGTAAGGTAAAAAAAATAATCAGAAAAATCAGTTTGCTTTTTTAAATATTATTTGTGCTCAAAGTCGACGACACAAAAACTGAATAAATAACCCGGAAGCGAAATGTTGAAGGCTAAATATTCTTTTGTGACAATCAGAAACGAGTAATGAAAATGTGTGTAGCGGCTCCGATTTTGCTGTTTCATTTGCCCGGCGGCGGCGATTTCAATTTTTACGCACGGCGTGAGCGGCGGGGGCGCAACCCCACCTTTGAAAATGAAAACATCATTTCAATTTAACTTCGTTGCTGTCGGGGTGCGCAAATTCGATAGGTGCCACCGGGAGCTTTAAAGCCCGAATGTCTCAATCTGCAAAATCGTTTTTTTTTAAATCTTAATTTTTTCATGAAATCTCCAAAATTCTTGAAAAATCAATAAAAATTTTAATGTTTTTTAGTGTTATTTTTAAAGTTTTGGAAATGTTGCGTTGTGTAAATAAATATTTATGTAACTCTTAGAATAAAATGTATCCTGCGGATAAAACCGTCACGCTACTGACGAACTGACTGCAGCAACATCCGTTACGGATGTCACCAAGCGGAAAATTAACTCTGTGCACCAGACACCATTGCCTAAGATTTGCTCTAAAACTCTGCTACACACATTAACACTTCAACCGTGTTTATCGTTGAATTTTTTCCTTGTCTCTATTCTTTTGCGTACATTTTATTCATCCAAATAAAAACTCAGAAACGCAAGTGAAAACTATTTCATTAAAAAATTATTTACCTTCGAGCGAGCGCGCAAGCAAGTAAAATAAACATTTTGATTCCACCTGGAGCAAAAACCAACATTGCCTCTGCGCAGAATCAACAATTTTAATATAAAATATTTGCGCTCGCACTTTGCGTAATATTAAAACTTCTACACTTGCATATATATTCAGCGAGAATGCAAAAATTAAAATTAAAGATGACGACTGTAATCACATTAAAATCTTGGTAAAATTGAAAATTCAAATCAAACAATTCGCATCGGCGTAGACTGGCCTCCAGGAGCTTTTCCAAACTGCGCAAATTAATAAATTTGAAAACACGTTCCGAGACGCAGTACAGAGTAAAACCACGCGCCACCGACTCGTAAAACAAGATAAGACCGAACGATAATCGAAATCCCTCATGAGACACAAATTGAAGCTCTCTCAGTGGCAAATTTTTTTCGCGTCGAGTTTTTCCCTCGTCGTATCCGCGGCGATCATGCGGAACGTTAAAATTTAGATTTTGGCGCCGTCTGAACCTAACCTAAAGAACCATTTCACATTTCACGGACGATTGCAAAAAATTTACCCCGAAACTACCACATTTACTAGCATTACTCGATTTTTAGTGCGTGTCGTGGTGGTTGCAAGAAGCCGCTTGAATAAAATATCAGGGCCACTTTCGTCATGCGGAGCAGTTCAATCACTGTCCACCCTTCGTGTGCGCAGAAATTCGTAGACGTGACCAGATTATCCTAAACTTTACAAAAGAGTCCACCAAATCGGATCTCATAAGACCGTAGAACGGATTGCACTGAAAAATCAAAGCTTGTTTGGTCCAGTAACGAAGCACGCGCGATTTAAACTAAATCCGACAATAAAACAAAAGGAAAAACGATTCTCAAATTACAATTTGTCAAAATAAACTGTATTTTTCTATATGCAATTTGTACAACATATTAATTTATTGCTTTATTATACGGTCGAGTAGATTCAGCATGCGTTGCATATGCATTGAATGAAAAGGGTTTGATTAAAATTTATCGAAAATCCCGGTCGCGGATTCTGTTCCATCAGCAAATTACAATTAACTCTCTGATAAAATTCAATTTCCATTAAAGCCCCCTTTAATAATAACACGTGCAACATGATGATGACGCTGAAAATCTGTACAATTTGTTTTGAAAATGTTTTTTAATTGCAAAAATTGAAAAAAAAATTCAAACTGACATTTTAGTAAATTTTTCATGTTTACTGATAAGGGAGTGATAACAACTCAACTTTTTGTGAATTTAAGAATAATATTTGATTTCTATGAAAATATTCAATAAAAACTTGATTTTTTTGTACACGGACTGCGGTCAAATTAAGCGCACGGACTGCGGTTAGATCAAACTCATGCACGGACTGTGGTCAGATTCAGTGCTCAGACCGCATGCATTATAAAAAGCTACATTTTATGCCGGAAAAATATAAAATTGATGTTAAAATGCATGTTTTCTGTCCTGTTTAATGTTTTATTCTTGTCAGTAAGCTCTCCAGATGGAATTGAGCGGTAGTAATGCTTCGAATCTTAATGCTACTTACTAACGCTCAATCTGAATAATGAATGCCGGCGAGATGGTACGCGATAAGTGTGTTTCCATGCATGTGGAGCGAAGCGCGAATTACGCCCCCGACAGCTCGTAATCTGATAGTGCGAACGACATATCCGGCAACGCGAGGTAAGCCGCCCGCGCGCGATGCCGAGTGCAGAGAGCATTACGAGACGCTAAATCGCGCGATCGTCATCGAAGAGGAGCGGGCGCGCAAACGCCTCCAGCCGCATCGCTGCTGACGACTTGCGGTGGCGAAATGCGCCGCCGTACGCTGCAAACATGTTTATTATGTTTCAAACGTGTAATTACCATCAAATACAACACAATATCTTATGGTAACTGCTAACACTACAACTAAATTGCATTAGTAAACACTGGATATAATTTCTGCCACAAATGAAAAAAAATCCGTACACAAATTGTTTTACTCTAATTTTGTGTGTTTTGTGTACTAATTATTATTGTTATTATACCATTGTGCGGAAGGACATAAAAACCCAATTTTCTACCCCCTAACGTTTTGTAGCAATCAGGGTTTGTGCTAAAACAATGAAACAGTCCGCATAATGTGTTTTTCATAACCAAGCGAGTATTTGTCAATTTCACCAGACCATTTCGAGCATAGTTGATGAAGTTCTTAATGGCATTTGTCACGCAGCACCCTTCGGAACTATCGACGCATTTCAGTGGTTAACCCCGTAAAGTATCCCTCTAAAATTCCGCCCCAAACAAAAATCAATCAAATTGAATTTTTACACAAAAATAAATAGAATAATGCATTTTTTCCTTGCTTCACAAATGCTAATGCTGCTTGCTGCGTTGTCAGGATGACGAGAGTTATGCTCGCGCAGAAAGGCCGGATTATATCGAAAATGGTGGCGCGTAATGATGATGTAGGGGTTTATCCGCGAAGAGAAGTGGAAACAACGCGCCGAAAAGAACCCGCTGAAGATTACTGCCAAGCATGGATGGGTGTTGCGGGGGGTGTTTGGCTAGGAAAAAATTATGGCGGCTGCAATGCTCACACGCGCGCACGTCGCACGCATTACGTATAAATTATGTGTGTGGATGCGCCGGGCACACACGGAATTCTGTATAGCAAAACTGTTGGAGGTTGGCGGTTGGATTTGGAAATAAATCATTTTCCCGGCTCGTATACCCCGACTAAAAACTAATGCCTCACAT